AGTAGTATATATATATATATATATATATATATATATTTGTTTAATAATTTATATGCATATATGTATTTACTAATCTTTCCATATAAATTCACATAAATTATTAAATAATATTACACTTAATTTATTGTTATTATTAATTTATGTGTATTTATTATGCAGAGTTCTCCCTAGGAATAAAAAAGGCAACATGCTTCTTCACAGAAAAGGGCACTTTTGAGTTTTGAAAGGGGACTTACTTAACACCGTAAAAAATTATCAAATGTCTAATATTATATAACTATTTCCGTGTTTTTTTCTTATTTATTCATGTACACTTTTCTTCTATCTTTTATTATTCCTCATAATTTTGTATTTACCTTCCTAAGCATTATTAATTTTTTCCCCTTCAGCTTTCATTCAATACGTATGGGATCCTCTTTCTCAAAAAGAAACTTTCCGCATTGTTCGTTTAATTAGGGACTTGATGGAAAATTATCCAACTATAAACGGTAAAAGCAAGCAACTTCAGGTATTATTTAATTTATTACAATTGAGCAATGTTTAGTTAATAGAGCAATGTCTTTTCTTTGCAATTCATTGCAATTTGTTTGGTATAAAGATTTAAATCTTTATTGAAATACTGTAGTATATTGTTTTATGTTACTTGTTAGATAAAAATGAGGCCCCTAAATTTTTTTGCCAATTTCCTACGCTAATTTATGTATTTTTCTCATATTATTTTAATCTAACAATGATCCGTGATTCACCTCCTCTGGCTGTTTATAACACACTAAACTTCAAATCTAGGAGTATTAGCTTGTCTGGGAATTAAGGGTGATTAATGCACAATGCTAACATCATCATCATCACCACCATGTCATTGGTCTAGAAATTGCTTAGTTTTAACTTACTTAGTTTTAACTTACTTAGTTTTAATTGCTTAGTTTTCTTAGTTTAATGGTCAAAAGTTTCATATTTGTATCTTGCAATTTAAAGCAGAATTTTTTTTCAAATGTAGAAAAAATACTGTCCAGTTTGAAGAGATAGAAAATAACTTTTCAAGGCAAAAAGGAATGTCCGGTTACGGTAGTGTCCGGTTGCAAGAATATCCTTAATTTATTCAAACGGAAATATTTAGAGATTTTGTTCCAAAGATTATGATATTCTGACAATAGGAAATTTTTGGAGTTTTCTTAATTCGTATTTATCTAAGAATTATTAACCTTTAACTTCAGGAAATAATCTTTTAATTGGCATCGTGACTATTTATGGCTCTTTGTGAGAGAACGATTTCTACGTCTTAAAATTAATAAGAGAAATCTATTTTAAGCTTATGATTTAATATAGAAAGACTCATACGAGGAATTTTTCTTCAAATGAGATCATAAATTATATATATATACAGTACAAAACCAGTTATCCGGAAATTGGAAAACCAAAAAACCTGAACGAAATTCGATAAATTTTCCCGCCATTTAAAAAAAAAAACATTTTTTTTTTCCTCATAAGATTTTACCTTCTTTTTTGAAAGATGTTTACCTTACCATCATTTTGGAAATAATCATTAGTGTATTACTTCATCGTTTTTTCTTCTTTTTAAGATTATTTCCAAATATTTGTTTTTTTTTTTTAGTTGGGTTTAACAATAAAAAAAACGGCTTTTTGTAGCAATTCAGAAAACCGGAAAAATCAGTTATCCGGAATAGCGATGGTCCCGATCGTTCCGGATAATCGGTACCCTACTGTACACACACATATATATATATGTTGGTGTTTTTTAAGCTGGATTTTGGTTAATTATATTTTTATAATTTTAATGTTGTAGGTACGTATTGAACATAATTTTTAATTACAATAGATTGTGAGTTGTCTATGGGAGAAACAATAATTTTCACTCAGCAGTGATGCTTAATCTGAAACTGTACAAGTGTGGAAACTAAATATATTTTTAGAATTCAATAAATAGAATTTCTAAAGTCCTAGAAATATCTTTAAAGTCCATTTTAATATAATCATGGAAGCATTTAGGATGTTTCTAAAAATTAATGTCTTAATAATTAATGTCTCTTCTAATTAATGTCTTAATAACATACTATACAATAATGGCTTAACTTTACTTTAACCAGAATATTTCTTACACATACATTTTCTGAAAATTCCAATTTTAAATTTGAGTCAGATTTTCTTATTTTTGTTGAGTATCTATGGTCAAATTTCAATTTAGGAAAAAAAGTTAGTCTTCAAAGAAAAAAAAAAGTTTTTTGTAATATAAATAACCTAGTATACTCTAAGTAATGTTATAATATAATATAAATACATAATAAGCTTAAATATACAAGTTCAAAAGATAGGTGGCTATTATAGCACTGTAAGCAAATAACATCATCGGAACATATAGTGCTAAAACAATTGTCTACCTTTTGAATTTATTTATATATCTAACATTATTTCTACAGTATTTAAAAATTAAGTTTTTTCTATTTTTTCCCTTCTTAATTTTAAGCATCACTGTTTGTTTAAAGTTTAAATAATGAGAACCATATGTGTTATTTTGTTTTAAATGCATAAATTTATAAATTCATGTATTATTTTTAAAATAATTTAATTCACTTTTTCACTTTAAGAATTGCCTAAAAGCTGCCACTGTTCGTATTAATAAGGCTCTAGACGAAGATGTTTTTATTCCTCTGTACCCAAAAGAGTAAGTTTTTTATTTTTACATTCTAAATTATGCTTTTTTATATAATTTTGTAATATTATATATCAAGTACTCAGAATTTCTTTATAGTGTGACTTAATATTGTGATAATCTGTATTCCAATTTAATTATGTGATTTATGCAGGGATGAGATTTTTCCGCTTTTTAGCGGATTTCCGCTTTTTGCACTTTTATCTCTTGAATTTCAGCTTTTTTTTTTTTTTTTTTTAAATCAAAAATTCAGATTTTCTAAAAATTTCACTTTAAGTATTCCGCTTTTTTAGAAAATTCACAGATTTTCAAAGATTAACAGAAAATTCAAACTACATAGCTATCAATCCTTTCTCATTTTTATGTTAGCTATTTTCTCCCCTTTTACACGCAGCAGATATGATTTTCCGAATTTTTTGCCGATTTTCGTAGTTCAAACGACGCTGCTTCTGACAAGCCTGGAATCTGCTAATATCTCGATTCTTATTCACACGATTTCAATATCAAACATAGCTTTTCGTATTTATGTGTTGCGATTCTTATTTACGAGATTTAAAAATCCGATATTGTGATTCGTATTTACGCCTTTTTAAAAACCTATGTAGCGATTCGTATTCACGCAAGTTTAAAATTCAATGTCTTGATTTGCTCATGCGGTTTATAGTATCAAACATTGAATTTCGTATTTATACGTGATTTTAAAATAAGGCATTGGGATTCGCATTCTAAATTATGTATCATAATTCTTATTTATGCAATCTAAAAATTACGCATCATGATTCGTATTTACGCGATCTAAAAATTGTGAATCGTTTTTTGTATTTACGCGTTTTAAAAATTCTATATCCCAGTTTGTATTTTCTCATTTTCAAAATCGTATATCTAGTTTCACATTCATGTGATTTCAAAATCCATAATTGTTATTCATATTCACGCAATTTTAAGATCAACTATCGCGATTCTTGTAAGAAGTAAATTTTTTTTAAATTAGTTACTATAAAGGTGACTGTTTTTCTAACGACGATTATTAGTATATGTAAGTGTTACAACATCAGAGAAACTGGAAGGGAATATATTCAAAACTTACATTCTGTGCTTGCAAAGAAGAAAAAATAGGATTTGTCACAAGATGTTTGAAGATGGACTAACGACTAAATATAGCAAACATAAAAGATATAGCAAACAAAAGCAATCACTTAAAAAGGGATTTAATTAAAAAAAAATTTGGGGGGAAAAAGAGTTAATTAACTAATCATCAAAATTTTATTTATAATTGCTGTTATTTATGCTATAAAATGCAAAATTCTTATCAAATAAAAAACAATTATCTAAACAGTTGCTGATTGTCATGTAATTTTTCAAACTAAAATAGCAATTTTTGTATGTTAAGGAGTTACTATATATTTCTACTTCACTGTTATTGATATGTTTCAGAGGGCTCTAGTTAGATTAGACTATAATATGAACATAATGATTCGGTCCATTGTTAAAGTTTTTTTTTCCAATATAATTTAAAAAGTAATATTACTGATATATTTGCTATAAATCACATAACAGTATTTATTAAAAGAAATGAAATATTAATGTATATTCTCAGTAGTTTTAATTTGCTAAACCAGGTAGTTTTTCAAGTAATAATTGTCTCTTATGTGAACTGAGGGAAAATATAATTTCCAGCTTTATTTTTTCAATTGGTTATTTTTATTTTCACTAAATGTTAAGTATCAATGTAATCATTTATATAATAATAGATAAGTACACAATTGTATGTCAACACATTAATTACCTTAAACTGTCTGGAATTTATTATTAAAGGGTTGCGCTTGCGTAAAATTTTTACTATCGTGGAAATTCAGCTTTTTTGCCTTTTGGCTAATCTCATCCCTGTTTATGGAGAATTGCAGTATTGTTTTAGAAAATTCTTCAGTTATACTGATCTCTTTGAAATGAGTTCATCTTGTAATATCATATTATATCATATTATTTCAACATATTACAATAATCAAAGCAAAATAACTTTTTATTTTATTTTTTATTTTCTAGATTGCTTGAAAATCGATCTTTGAAAGCTTTGGATTTTTTTCAACGTCAGTTTTGGTCTACAGTAAAAGTATGTTACAATTTATAGAGCTGATAGGTTTTTATTTTAAAATTTTGATTCAGTTATTTTTATATTGATTTATTGTTATTGAAGCCTATTTTATTGGCTTCAAAATTAAACTTTAATTAATTTATTTACAAAATAACCTTCAACTTTATTTAAAATCTTAGAGCAAAATTTCAGCTTAGATTTATTTCATTGTATTGTTGTACTCAAAATAAAAAGTAAACACCCTGAATAACTTACGATCTAATGATGAATTCTGCTTACCTGATTTAAAAGTGACACATTTTGAATCATATTTACGCAATCTACAAATCGTTCATGCAGATTCGTAATCAAGTGATTTAAAAATCATTTTCGTGATTTAATTTACATGCTTTTAAAGTCAGTATTGTGATTCCTACTCAAGCTAGTTTGAAATCAAAAATGCTATTCGTATTCACGCATTTCTAAAACACCAATTTCCGTATATATGCGCAATTTAAAAGTTACACATTGCAATTCGTAATCACTTAATCTAAAAATCATGCGTTGCGATTAGTATTTATGCAATTTTAAAATCTAATATAGCTATCTATATTTTCGCTTTTTTTAAAATCCAATTTGTAGTTTCGAGTTCTTAAAATCCACTACGTTGAATCATATTCATGTGATTTTAGAATCCAATATCACGATTATTTATTGTGACAATAATAATGAATTCTTTCTTAAATTAGTTATTATAAAGGTGTAATATTTTTAATTGATGGGTAATTTAATTGCAAATTTTAGTTTAAAAAATTATATTAAACATGTATAGTTTATAAATTGGTATCGTGATATCGAGTGTTTGCACATAAAATTTTCACAGTGTTTTTCTTTGTGTTACAATCACTCCTGCTATTACACATTTTGATGCTCCTTTAAAAATTTATTGTCTTTGTTATTCTATTTATTATTTTTCTTTCAGCTTTTACAAAACATATGCAGTTGGAATGGTATTATCAGTGAACAGCCTCTGCAGCAATTTTCTCTTTCTTCAGTTCTAAATCGTTATATTATAATGGGTCTGAGTACATCTACAATGCTGAAAGACACAATAGATAAATGCAAAGTGGTATGTTTATTCCTCTTTTATTTGTGTACAAACATCTGTTTGATAATTTGAAGTTGTTTAAATCACCAATTATCTAATTTAACTAAGTTATACCAATCAATTCTCTATAAATTATATTATTAGCATAATCATCCTTTTATTTATTTTCACTTTTTTGTCTTCGTAATCCTTTCCAAACTCTTACTCTTCCAATGAAAAAAAAAGAATCATTAATGTAGTCATAATAATCGTTTGAGCTGATGAAGAGATTACATCTTTTAATTTTGTTTTCTGGCTGTTATATATATATATATATAAGAGTAATTTTTTTAAAAATATATAATTTTAATAATTTTTTTCTTTTCTTTTCATTAATCTTTATTATTTTCCATCTTTTCTCTATATTTTTAGCTTATTTTATGAGTTTTATATACTTGCAGCTTATGCGCTGTAAATAAAACTTAGGAAAAATATTTTTTTGTCTTTATTGTGCTATATATATATACATACGCACATATAAATAAAACAGAGAATAAAAAAACAATATTGAATTTTCATTTGATTTCAAAAGTATTTAATTTATTCATTGTAATTATGTGTTTTATATTAACATCAATGCATTTTTAGATCGTTGAAGCCATCCCCAAAAGTTGGCTGGCTAATATCAAAGGAGATGCAACAATACCATTGTTAAAGCAATTTTCCACTTTTCTTGTAAAATATGTCGACTCTTACTACTCTCAGTCAATAAAGAAAGGAATAATAACTGAAGAAATAAAGTATGTATCTTTGTTTATACTTATTTGCATTTTATGCAATATTGTTTCAATATATCATTTTATCATTTAAGAAAACACAGATTTTTAACTATTTCAGTGACTAATTTTAGTTTTTACTAAAAAATTATTTTTTATATGCTTACTTGTTGATTCGATTGCCGTGTGTATTATATCTTTTATTTCCTGGTTCTATAATAAGAGGCCAGAGGCTTTTTAAGTTTATTTTACTTCAAGGGATTTTTTTCCCCATTCTTTGTTTTTCTGTTTTTTCTATTGTTTTGTACTGTTGTAGTTGTCTTTTAATTTGTGTCATTAGAATTAAAATTGACCTGCAGTGGCTCAGTGGTTCAATGGCTCAGCAATAACTACTTGCTAATTTAAAATAAGTTTTTTTTCCTCTATGCAGTAGATAAAGAATTGATTTTACTGAAGTTACATTTTCTTAAATAGTAGAGATTTCCCATGTGGAAAATAAAAAAAAGGAATTTTGCTGATATACGTTATAAAAATACTGATGATAATGTTTTTATTTTTTAGGGATAATATAAAAGAAGTTGTGCAAATGTTAATTTCACTTGAATCTATAGACAGTGCTGTAGCTGTTGTGAAAAAATATTCAATCAGTGGATTTAAAAATATTTGAATGTATATATTGTTTTTAATTATTTATAATGTTAAATAAAAAATTTTATATTGAATTTATGTCTGATTTTGTGTATATCTACATAGCATCTTATGTTTTTTCTGCTTAGACGCAAATTATTATTATTATTTTTTTAAAAAAATTTGCATCACAGAATTTTAAAACAATTGTGTTCATGGCAGATATCTTATTGTTCAATGGCACATCGAAAACATCCGATTTATTTTATGCAAATTATGAAACTTATTTTTACTCACACATTCACTTTGTAGTAGAAGGTACTTAAATTGAATTTCTTTTGAACTAAATAACATATTTTAACTTCTGAGAATTTTTTAATTGTTAAAAATGTCTATTTATCGGGAGTTAATGCTATTTATTGAAGTACTTTTATGCAAAACTTTGAAGGCATGTCTGGAATGGAAGTACTTATGTAAAATTAAAGCTTGGCCTTATACACTCTAAGTATTTAAATATGCTGTAAATAAAATGAAAAAAGTGCTAGTTTTAGGATTTTATGAGAATAAAATTAGGACTTAAAATAATTTTTTATAGGAACTTAAATAAGATTATTTTTATGCATATCATATTTTGTTTCAATTGCACTTGTGTTTTCATTCGTTACTCTAACCACTATAACTGAAAACGAAAAGAAAAAATAATGTCTAGATGTTTTATTTAGTCTTGCAATAATCTAAATTTTCTTATGTACATATTTAATTGCTTTATTTGAGGATAGAATAATGACTTTTATTTCTATATATGGTGTAGTAATAGTGGGCAAATACCTTTACCAATTAAATTCCTGGGACATAAATTTGCAAGTACATATACTGTTAAACCTTGAAGCATTTTGCAATAATAATGAAAGGATATATTGGTTTGTATTCGTAACGTCAGTCAGGAGGTTTTTCTCTATTAGCTATATGTCATTTCTTGTGTACCTTCCTATTAATTTGAAGTTTTTAAATAAATTAAACTAAATAATCCTCCATCGAAGAAATAGAGTTTAAAAAAAAATGTATTCTTTTATTCTTAATAAAACTTTTATAATTTTCGTTTCCTTTTTTATAAGCATAATAATGTTAGGCTATAGGAAAACGTCCAATATAATTTTTAAAAAAATATATAAACTATTTATCAATGATAAAAAATTTAAAAATAAAATCTATCAAAATGTAAGATCAGTGACTACGGCATCGCCTTTAGCTTGTTTTAGTCTGAATAATGTGGCAAATGTTTCTAGAAAAGAAGTGAATAGTAAATATGTGAGAACCATTGTCCTTTTTGTCATGACCAGTTGGGGAAAAAAGCTTCAACAGATGATAAAGGATAATCATTGCAATAACTAACGAACATAAGATGTAACCATTGAGTAGATTCTACCTCCTAATACTCGTGTATGTTGAAGACCTAATAAAATTTGTTTGAAATTTTTTTAGGTTACTATTCAATTTAATGTTGTATTCATTTTATGAACACACATTTGTTCTATCCATAAAATAAAGAAAAAAAAATCTTAACATTTTTCAAAATTCCTTAACAATGAAAAAAACATATTGCACAAAAAGTGATTTTTTTTAAGCATTTCAATGTTTCTTGGAAATATAGGTAAACTTCAGGAAGTTTTTTAATGATCCAGTACTCTCTCTCATTCAGGTTTTCTGGTTTGTGATTGCCCAGCAAATCGCCTGCCTTTCTATAATTTAGTTATAAACAAGTACAACTATTTATGGATTGCCCGTAAGTTTCCTCTAACTTGAAAGTTATAATATTTGAACTAAAAATTGGTAATTATGTTAACCTTTGTACAATGGACTCCTCTTCCCCATTATTCATAGTTTTTCAATTCTTTTTTTTAAAACCAATTACAGCCACTTGGTAAGTAAACTTTCCAGTTCTTTAATCTAAAAACATAAAAACTGGTAACACAATTATTTCATTCTTAATTTTATCTTGGAAATACAAAACATGTCTCACCACCGTGATATATTAGAAAAATAAAATTTTAATCTATCATCATAAATTCGGGATTTAAAAAAAAAAAAACTAATTAGTAGCTAATTTAAGAACATTTCTGTCTAATGGAAACATTAATGAATTACCGCTTTTTTTTTAAAAGCACTTTTCATATTTCAATTATAAATGACCAACATAACGGGTTAATAGTTGACATCTTTAATCTATTATAGTTAACGGTATTTATTATTCGAAAAAAAAACAACAGAACATTTTGTACAGAAACTACAAGGCATGTTTTTTAAGTAATTGCCATTCGAAAATAAAAATCAAACGGAAGAAAAATTTCAAGCAAATTCATTTTCAGATTCTACATACGTAAATTTTTTTTATGTGCCAAGTTTGTTTAAAGGCTTATAATGCCCTACAACTAGATTTAGGGCATTATAAGGGTTCTTAATAGGAACTGTGTGTGAACTCACCTGTTCCTACAAACAAGTGGTCTTTACATGTCATTGTCGTAGTGGTTGCCGCCGTAACGATGTTTGAAATATTGGAAAAGATGAAAATCGCTCAGCGTAAGGTCTGGGCTACAGGAGGGTCCAATAAAGCTCTGATCTGAGCTGATGGGAAGTCATTGTGATGGAGTAGCAAAATTCCATGGCAGTAGCTCCGTAAAGTTCACAAATCTGCCAATGATTGCAGCAGACAGGATTTTACCTTGTATGGGGCATGCGATTCAATAATCTTAAATATTTTTAAGACACAGAACTGACCGTACAGATGACCTACACAGTTGTTCCCAAGGAATGCCGGGACACGATGCAATCACTCATTGCGATGTTCATGCTACTTACTATTGATTGAACACAGCAAAATGGTCCTGGCTTAAAAAACACACCTCACATTACTGACTCCACTCAACAATTCCTTTAAAAAATAATGATTTTATGCCTTCATTTTTTTTCCCACTGCTATATGTGATATTTCTCAAAATATTCAGAAGGTTAGTTATTCATAAACATTCGGAAATGGAAATTATTGAAAAAAATTTTTGTGTAAACATAAGGAGAAAATTTTAAGGTTCATAATGGACCTCACTTCTCTGTGCAACGGTTAACTCCTAATCAGTTTACATAATGTCAATAATGCGGAGTTCTCCTTAAGTGTATGCGCTGTAAATAAAACTTAGNTGTACAATGGACTCCTCTTCCCCATTATTCATAGTTTTTCAATTCTTTTTTTTAAAACCAATTACAGCCACTTGGTAAGTAAACTTTCCAGTTCTTTAATCTAAAAACATAAAAACTGGTAACACAATTATTTCATTCTTAATTTTATCTTGGAAATACAAAACATGTCTCACCACCGTGATATATTAGAAAAATAAAATTTTAATCTATCATGATAAATTTGGGATTTAAAAAAAAAAAACTAATTAGTAGCTAATTTAAGAACATTTCTGTCTAATGGAAACATTAATGAATTACCACTCTTTTTCTAAAAGCACTTTTCATATTTCAATTATAAATGACTGACGTTAATAGTTGACATTTTTAATCTATTTTAGTAAATGGTATTTATTATTCAGAAAAATAACAACAGAACATTTTGTACAGAAACTATGAGGCTCGTTTTTTAAGTAATTGCCATTCGAAAATAAAAATCAAACGGAAGAAATTTTTCAAGAAGCAAATTCATTTTCAGATTCTACATACATATGTTTTTTTTTTGTGTGCCAAGTTTGTTTAAATGCCCTACAACTAGATTTAGGGCATTATAAACGTTCTTAATAGGAACTTCCCACCTGTTCCTATAACCAAGGGGTCATTTCATGTCATTGTGGTTGCCACCGTAATGATGTTTGAAATATCGGAAAAGATGAAAATCGCTCGGCGTAAGGTCTGGGCTACAAGGGTCCAAAACTTATTAGCCAAGCGAGTTCAATAAAGCTCTGATCTGAGCTGATGGGGAGTCATTGTTATGGAGTTGCAAAATTCCCTGCCAGCATAGCAGTAACTCCGTAAAGTTCACAAATCTGCAATGTTTGCAGCAGACCAGATTTTTACCGACAAAAAACACATCACTGATTTTACCTTGTACGAGGCATGCGATTCAATAATCTTAAAGACACAGAACTGACCGTACAGGTTACCTACACAGTTGTTTCCAAGGAATGCCGGGGCACGACGCAATGACTCGTTGCGATGTTCACACTACTTACTATTGTACACAGCAGAATGATCCTTGCTTAAAAAACACACCTCGTATTACGGACTCCACTCAGCAATTCCTTTAAAAAATGATTTTATTCCTTCATTTTCATTGTTTTTTTCACTGCTATATTTGATATTTCCCAAAATATTTAGAAGGTTAGTTATTAATAAACATTCGGAAATGGAAATTATTGAAATTTTTTTTGTGTGCAATTATAAGAAAAAATTTTAAGGTCCATAATGGTCCTCACTTCTCTGAGCAACGGTTAACTCCTAATCAGTTTACATAATGTCAATAATGCAGAGTTCTCCCGAAGCGTTTTTTAAAAGGCGTCCGCCCTGCTTGCCCTTAGATCCCGATAAATGTGCCCTCTTTGTAAAAATAAGCCACCATCCCTTAAAAACACTGCTCTTTTATTCATATTCCATTTTGTAAAAAAAAAAAAATTCTGTTTTACTAATAATTACATACTGGTGAAATAAGCTGTGTTTATAGGGTAATTTTTGGTTACTATTACAAATATTTACTTTATTAGGAATATTCTCAATTGGTTAAATTTTTATAAGTAATTTTTTTTTTGTGAGAAAGATATTAAGAAATTTTTAAATAATTTTAAAACCATTTTTTTTTAAATAAATATTTTTTTTTCTAAAAAAAAGCACATTTAATAGAAAAAAGATTTGAAATAATTTAACAATTAATAATTTTTTGTTAGTTTACTTTTATAAAAAAATATGCACAAAGATTGTCGTTTAGCATTTCTTTAATTATTTTTATGAACTACAAAGTTTTCTTTTATTTTGAAAATGTGAGAGAGCTACTTTTTGAAATATACACATTAGATAGCACAAGTAGAAAATTTAAAAATTGCTGATAATAAAATTTAGTTATTATACAATATTGCACATTTTGATAAATTTTACGGTGTTAAACCAGTGCCTTTTAAAAGAGTCTTGACTTTGTTTCTTCCTAGGGAGAACGCTGGATAATGTTTATATTTACTTAAAAATATTGTAATTCTATTGAATTGTTTTGAATTAAATATTGATCTTTTACAACATTTTTATCATATATTAGAAAAATATTATATAAAATTTTCATAAAAACAAGCGCAGTTCATTATTGACTCTACTTTGCTCTTCATAGTAATAGAAAAGTTCTTGTTGTGTTAAAAGAATGTAGTAGTCTGAAGATCATATGGGTAACATAACAAAAAAAAAAATAGCTTTAATATAGTCAAATAACATTTACAATATTAATAAGTTGTAAACTTTACATTGATTTTAATTTTGCCATTAAATCTTCTATATTTTGTTCATTCACATCAACACAGTTACTATCATCGTCTTCAATGACAGGTTTTTTATAAGCGACTTTTATGCCTTCAGCCACAAAATTTTGTTCTTCAGTGTCTCCACCACAACCCGTTTCCGAAACTAAAGAAATACCCCACTCGTTATCTTCGTGTACTACTTCTTTATCCTTGACTTCTTCGACAACTGTGACTTCTTTCTCTTGCGCCTGATACTCTTTTTGATGTGATCGACACAGTGAGTCATCACAGCCAGGATTAGGCTTGAGGGTCATGGTCGGAAAGAAATCTTCGAGAGCATTATAACCTAAATAATTTGACACTTTCCCGAATTTCAATAAATATTTCAGAACATTTTGAACTAAAAATCCAGCGACAACACCCATAGTAGTTGGCAAACTCGCAGCACAAACGCCATCTCTTTTCAGGGTTTTTTCATCGATGCTCGATGCAACAATCAAGGGTGGTGCACAGGCAAAACAAGCCGTTTCGCCTGGAATTATAAACTGAATATGACCGGACACAGCATTTTCACTCACTCCCGATTCGAACCAGGATAAATTTAGCTCATTACAAGCAGTGTTTATAGCCATTCTAGCTTCAAAATTATCTACGCAACTTAGTACTAGATCAACTTTCTTATCTTTGCCACCTGTATTGAGCACGTCCAAAAAGTGCTGAAAATTATCGACAGTCGTAATGTTATAATTATGAGTCTCGAATTGAACATCTGGATTAATGAAAGATAATGTTTTTGCGGCAGCCTCAACTTTGCTTAGTCCGGCTTGGTGAGGTTGAAAAAATAACCTATTCATATTCGCCAATTCTACTTTATCATAATCAAAGAGTATTAATTTACCAATTCCGCATCTGGTAAGCATTTCAGCTGTCACACTACCTACTCCTCCAACTCCAACAACTGCTACAGTGAAATTCCGTATAGTTTCATAGTTGTCGACGATTCCCATACGTTTCAAAGCCATCAATCTACTGTATGGATTGGAATCAACAACTTCTGAACTAATTTGATCAATTTTTTCTCTACCTTTAAAGTCATTCTTTTTCCTTTCAAGTTCTAATTCGGTTTCGAGTTTTGCTATACGTAACTTAAGCTTTTCTTCGACAGATGACATTTTGCAGAATAATAATTTACTCGTTTAAATGCGATACAAGAAGTGAAAGTAAACAACTGTCTGCTAGTGCAACGTCAAAAATTTTGAATAAGACGGTTACAATTACTCATTATTTCTGAATTGAATCTGATATTGAATGACTCGTTGGTTTTCAGCAAATAGATATTCATAAATATTTTCTTTTTTCAGCTAAATTGAAAGGAATAACTTTTAATCTATTCGACACCAGTAAATGAAAAAATTAATTGCTGCACTCTCCATATATTTTTTAATCGTAATCAAATAATTTAATGATTATTTATAGGATTTACATCAAGTGTTTATCATGCGCAAAAAAGGCGTTACTAATGTGACGTTTTACTTGTTTATTGGTTCTTCTTGAAAATTAACAGAAAAAACGTCCAGTAGTAAAACGTTGAGTATTCTGTTCTGTTTCATCTATGTAACCTTTCGCGCCTCTTTTCTAATTTGTAAAAACAAAATATTCTGAAATATTGTTGTTGTAAGATATTTTAAATAACTTCAAAATGCCTCGTGAAATGATAACTCTTCAACTTGGGCAATGTGGTAATCAAAGTAAGTTTAACTAAAAATTTTTATATTTTATTTACCGTTTTGTTTTTCTCCTTGCAGATTTGTTGCTTTATTTGTTTTCAATAATAGTTTCCAATTAACGTAAAATTTGTTAATGGAAAAAATGCCTTTTTTTGATGCTAAACCAAGTGCATAAATAAACGGGGTATTTCCATATTCCTTCGAAATCTTCCTCACTTACAAACAAAAAGTATAACCATATATACATGCCTGCCAACTCTTCCGGATTTTCCGGAAGATTTTATTTTCATATTTAAAGTGGTAGCAATATTCAGGTTATTCCAATTAACTTTTTGAATTATGATAATTATAAATGAGTTTGTCTTGCGCTACATATAAATAATTATAATAAATATATGAAAGCACAATAATCTTTGCGCAAGCGAATTTCATCGGGATCAAAATATAAGTATATTTTTGAGTCAGATTGTTTTTCGTTTATCGTTTTACAACCACTCTGAAAATCCATTCTCAGAAAGAGTGAAAGTTGGCAGGTAAGATATAAAATGAATGTATAAAACCACCGATTTTTGTTTATTTTTGATATGGAATACTGTTACAATGTATTATCTCCTCGTTGTGTCAGGAAGCTTTATATTTTAGCAAAATTTATAAGCATTCACGTTGTACTACTATTACTTCATAGGTTATTCTTTACTAATAGGTTATTTTCAGGTAGTAACAGTAAGAAAAAACAAAACAAAAGTATTGTGTAAGTACTAGATAAGAAAAACTTAGTGACATTTAGTATTTAAAACAAAAGTAATTTTTTATTTATTTTTTAAATGAGGGAATGATTTATGTTTAAAATGAAAATTTTAATGAATATTTAAGTATATGTCAGATCATGATACAGAAATATCCCCATAATTTTTAACCCCGAATTACCGTGATGGCTTATTTTTCAGGATTGATTTTTATATCTTGATCAGGGGTCTGTCTGGACCAAATTTACTACCGCTTAGCGGTACCTTCACAAATTCAACTAAAGGAAACTACACAAAATACTTTTTCTTAAAATTTTATTTTTGTATCCCTTAAGAAGCGATAAATCCATATTTTTGTGTTGATTTTTTAATGTAATTTTTAATTTTCACAAATAATGCCTAAATTTTCACAAAATAGGTACCTCTTAGAAAAACCAAGACAGACCCCTATTGATATTAAGCCCCTGTTCTCTGACGCTTACCAACCCTGATGATTGCTTTGTTATAATTGCAGTTTCTTGATATAAAACAGTTGAAATTATTCAACTAAAAGTATGTGTACCAAAAAGAACACTTGTGCCTCCACTTACCACTTCCAAATATTTCCCTTATGATACTATTAAAATCTTTAAGTGAACATAAATCATTTTTTTAAGTAATCCTTTTTTGAAATAACATGTAAAATTGAAAGTATATCATTATAACAAATTTGGTGAGTTCACAACTGTAATTTAATAATTTTTGCTTACCAAATAAAAGGATGTATTTTAAATATAATTTCTGTGTTCATTACTTTGTGCACGACTCTGAAAGTTGAGTTCTAAATAATTTAACAAATCTCTTTAACTATTCATATTAGTACCTATATTAATGTAATTTGCAACAAAAAAATAATAATAATTGTAAAACGGTTAATAAGATCAGACACAGATTTAAATAACTTTATCTTAAAATGTAACAAAGAATAATAAAAATAATCCTCTTAAACTCTTAATTTAAAAGTCAAATATATTGACAACAAGGGAAAACTGTGACCCCATCACTAGATTTTTATGTATAGAAAATTTTTTGAGTGTCTTCAAAACTTCCCATTTTCTACTACTATAAATGTTGATTTTGAAATATTCTATTTGAATAACTGAAAGATTTTATTTTTGGTCCAACAACATCTTTTAATTTTAATTAATAATGCTAGAGAAATAGCACAATTTGATAGCTGAAACTTAAGGAATATCCGCTAAGTATATTTATGACTCAGTTATATAACCTTATCTGCAAGATTCATTATTTGAAACTTTTTGGAAATCCAGTCATTTTATAAAAGAAAAATTCTGTGAACAGTTTTACAGTATCAAATTTTTATGGATTCCGAAAGGTCTTAATCTTATTATTTTAAGAAAATACAGTTGAAAATCTTGAAGTGTGTAGTTTTGTAGTTTCTTAAATCTCTCTCAACAGGTTTTAAAAATGATTCATTCTAATCAACATTAGAGATATCATAGAATTTTAATCGAAAAATTATGGGGTATCATATACTAAATAACTTCTGCATAAAAATATTGCGCAGTATAAACATAATTTTGTTTTGTTTTGAGATTATTGAAACCTTGCTTTGAAGTAATTTGATTTAAAAATTCTTGAACTACATTATTGATAAGAAGGAATATTGCCTAAATGGTACTGAATTAATGCAGATGATCAACTTGCAAGTAAGCAAAATTTTCACTGACTGCATAAACTGTCTTGGATGACTGGTTGTTTTCTATTTACTCTTTAAATTATTTCATTTTCTTGGAATGTTTTTTATAGTATTTCAAAAGACTTATGAACCCAAAATAGAACATTTAAAACATATTTTTTCTGGAAAGAGTAAAAATGTTTGAAGCTATTGATTTTGAATTTTTGTAAGATAAATTTTATGTAAATATAGAAACAGTTGTTGATATTGATTTATAATTAAAACATATTAGCAAATTTTTTTTCTTCTTCCCTTTTATAAGTTGATTCCTATACTCTTAATATTTAACAACTAACTTGTTTACTACAAATGTACCACATATTTATTATGTTCACTTTGAAAAATGTCTTGTTTTTTCTAGTTGGTTTTGAATTTTGGAAGAAACTTTGTGCTGAGCACGGTATTAATCCTGGTATGTTTCTTTTCGTTCATTAAGTTTTATAATCAATTATAAGTTTTATAATACTTTTGATTATAATATAATGCTATTGTAATATAATACTCTGTTATATTATAGTTTTAGTATTATATAATATAAGGTACATATCATAATATTGAGTATATAGCAAATTTCATTATACAAAAACTCTATTTCATGTACTGAAAAATAAAAATTTTCTAGTATCCCTTTTTTAACAAATTTCTAAGTTTTTTTATTAATTACTTTAAATATTAAATTGAAAGTTATTGTTTTTTTAAAAAAAGTATTTTGTAATACCTACTAATAAAAAAGTTTTTTTAAATTTTAATATAGTTTGTAGGTAACATCATTTGCTCTTTTTCTATTTCCTAAATGTCATTTCATGTGTATTTTCAATATTTCCTGCTAATTTGAATCCTTTATTTGAAAATAAATTAAAAATATTAATACATGTTTTATTCTAGGCTACGTCTGTCACATTTTATATTTTTATTCTAAATGAAACATTTATAATTTTTATACCTTTTTCTTATACGCATACTAATATTAGGCTGTAAGGACACAAGAGGATGAAAAGAAACATCACACTTATTATTAAAGCATAACATATTTATATATAACATATAAAACCTATTACACATATCATATTTACACTTTGTGGCAATAAATTTTATATAACATTTGGAAGTTTGCAAGAGAATGGACATTTGGAAGTAAAAAAAGAAACTTTATTTCAATTGTTTTTCCCCTTGCGACTAGAGAGGATAGCGCCATCTGGTGTGCTGCGAACTATTCGTTACAAGGCTATTAAGAGGCATCCAATATAATTTTTTTTAAAAAGAAATTATTAAATTTTTATCTTTGAAAAAAATAGTTTAAAAATAAGACCTATCAAAATTTAGCATTAGTCACCTTGGAATCTTATTGAATTAAAAAATGAATTCCTTTAGTAATGTATATTATTTCGTATTTAAATACATTTTGCAATTGTAGATGGAGTTTTGGAAGACTTTGCTACTGAAGGAACAGACCGGAAAGATGTATTCTTTTATCAGGTATGTGTAAATTTCTCTGAAATTTTATTTCTTATACGTTTTTGGTATCAGGGGTCTGTAAATCGTGGGATCTCTGTCGTGGTGCTTACAAAAAAACAAAGAATACATTTTAATACAATTATCGGAGGTTTTCATTGGATTATAAACAACCTGGATCTGTGAAAGGCCTTGTAGATATTAGAAAGCTGGCTCCTTTACGTAAAAAAATTAAGAGTCCATAATTATTTTTGTCATTAATCGCCAATATGGCAAATTAACTTTTTAGCAAATTAAAAATTTATAAAAAAGTGTAGAAGGTTATAAAAATGTGCATTGTTAAATTTAAAAATATTATTTATTATTATAATAATTATACTGTAAACCAGGTATAACTTAAAAATTGGTATTCAGTATTGACAAAAGTAATTCAGCTATAATTTATAAAAAATTATACCGTTATAGTTAAAGAAAATTAAACTAACCAGGGTTGTATTTAAATTATATATTGGTTCGTAAACATTGTTATAATTTATTTTTAATTTCATGGATCATTTTTAACATATAATGTCCTTTAATAAAGTAATATAATAGATCGTATAGAATTTGGGATAATTATTTAATAGTTTACACTTGCATTGTGAAAAATTTAAATCAAAAATCAAATAACGTATCTAAAAATTTTCAAATAATTACAATGTGATTCTAATGTTAAATTAATTAGTATATTCATACCTTAAAACTAACATTTAAATTCAGTATTTACTATTTCTCCAACGTGCTCGTGCAGGCCATCCACGTGACTCGAAATCTGTTAGCAAAATTAATCTGCTAAGCTAAACAGCAATTTGGACTGGAATTAATTTTAAGCAATGATAATTGGCATTATTTAACGAAATATTTAGTTATTTAAAAAAAGAATTATAGATAACCTTAGAGAATCATGGCACTAGACTGCACGTGCATGAACTTTATCCCTATTCAAAGAACTAGCACGAGGCATAGTCAGAATTAAAGACTAATATAACTTTTAAAAACAAAATTGTATTAAAACATAATTCTTGGTTACAATACATATAAAACATTCTTCGTTAAACAATAATTAGAATGTCTTAGGAATTCAAAATTTTGGTGCAACATCTCCAAAACAAAATTTCAACTGTTACAACAATTTAATATATATTATGGAAAATAATTCACATTTAACAACTTATAAAAATTAGGCTAGGTTTAAAAAAAATTATTCGCACGTGGTTTAAGATTATCGGCGTAATTAGATTTTTAAGTATCTATTTTAAGTTAATTTAATATTATAACAATTTTCGACATTGTTAAATTAAGACGGGTTTCTAATCGACAAAATAAAATTAATTACTAATTTAATATGCTAATTCTAAATTAAAAATACTTATCGGTCACCCGGTCCCTGGATCCAGGGCCTAGTAGCCCTAAAACGTCTACCTAAAAAAAAAACCTGCTACCTTTAAGAAAAAAAATTAAGAGTTTGGCTAACGCGCTCTGCGTCGAAAATTCGGAAAAAAGGAGGGAGAAAAACAGCGCCCTCTGGCAAACTCTGATAGGCTCTCATACCATTACGTCACTCCTACTCATCCATTACATCACTCCTCTTCAGCCATTTACTGCCTGTTGGGGAATAATCGTTTGCGAAAACTCAAAAAAGGTGGAAAATCGCTTGCATGCGACCCAGCCACCAGCCAATTGTACAAAACAGATTAAAACATTAAAAATAAAATAAAAATAGTTTTAACAATTCAATTAATGGTTCGTGATGTCTCGATTTTTTCTTGTTTATAAAAATTTATGTACCGATGAAAATAATATATACCAGCATCATACAAGTAAAAAATTAAAACTTGCTTTAAATCAATTAAAAACCAGCCTTAAAAGAGTTCAAATCATTAATTTTAGGCGCTTACATCATTTTACTACACTATTTAATTAAGACCCTATTTATTATTATAGTTATCTGTTATAAGACGATAAATAAAGAAATGTGAATTATAAATCTATCATTGACATGTAAAAGTTATATCTTCTAAAAATGGCATAAGAAACATTAAAAAAAGGATCTAATAGAGTATTGCTAAATTTTTTTTATCCCTTTCAAAATCATAAACGTAGAGGAAGTATTGCGAAAACTCTATTATTTAAAAATCACGTTGTGATGCAATCATTTTTTTTCTCTTTTGCCATATAGAACTCTGGAATGTTGACAGTGAGAATGATAAAATGAAAAACAAAAATGTGGTCATTAGATATAAAAAAAAACTAAAAAAAGTTTGTGAGCTATAAAATTAGAATGATCAATTTTATGTATTTTTTATTAAGATTATCTGTAGTGTCTTATAAAAGTAAGTAGTTATAGCAAAATAATTTAACCACCTGCTGCTCAGAAACAAACGGATTAAACTCTAAATTTGAAAAAAATTTGAGTTCCTTTTATGAGTTAAACATAATCATTTTTAGATTTAAAGAAAGCATTTTTTTTAAAGATATTTACTTTCATCTTCTACCTAATGAATTAAATATTTTAATAAAATATATATTTTTAATTTCTATAATTAATGTGTTTATTTGATTTTTCTAAGATGTTTATATTGAAAGCTTTTTTTACAAATAAGAGTAAAGTGTCACTAAGACTATGGGATTTTGTGACCAACAGTGTGGCAATGTGATTTGTGATAAGCTTTGTACACAATGCTGCCTTTATGATGCTGGTACCAATTAATGTAAAGCTGGATGGGCTTCAAACTGCCACTGAGGATCAAATCCTATCCTTCACATTGACTTTATCCACTAAGCCTCCGTGCCTTCTTCTGTGTACTTATTGTCCATCATATCGATAAATATTAAGTAATTTTGGTACATATTCATTTAAGGAGGCAAGTGGCTGGGTGGCGCAGTTGGTTTGTCGTCGGCCTTCTGAGCACAAGTCTGCGGGTTCGATCCCCGGCCCAGACACGTGATTTTTGGGATGCAGAAAATCCTCAGCGGCCATGTCGTATGATTATGCCGCATGTAAAAGATCCCTGGAGTGCCTTATTGGCTCTTGGCATTTCCGGCAAAATTAAATTCCTAGTGCACTTAAGCATCCAAATAGAGTCTCGGTGCTGCCATCTAGTGTGGCAGAAACTAGACGTCCAAATTAACATGACCAACGGTATCTCACCCATTGTGGTGGTCCTGAAAGAGTGGATACCATCTCTGGAGAACGCACTAGGTCTGCTCATCGGGAAAAACTGATTGTGCAGCTCATTGGGGGAAGAAAAAAAATCATTTAAGGAGGCTGTAACCAAATCACTCCATTTCGATAAACTGAAAAATTTTTCTGCAAGCAATTATAATTAATGCTTAATTATCGCAATATTAATTAACTCTTGAAAATAGCTTCAACTCTTTCGTTGCAACCTATTTTGGCCAAATTTGTGTGAAAGTCATTGCTTTTTAAAAAATGTTTTAATTTTTTAAAACTTTATATTTATTATAAATATCAAAATGCTAGAAAGTCAAAGACGTAATGGCGGGAAAAGTGCAGCTATGTGAAGCAGCTGAATTCTCATATCAATCCCTGCTGGATTGATCTGTGGGTTAAGATTGGAGAATTTTGACTCTTTTTTTTTTTCTTCTTTTTTTTTTAAATGAGTAATATAAAAAAAATTTCCGCTATGTATACAAATATTGATTGCGAGGTAAAAAAGAGAATTTTGACCATTTTTTCATTTATAATGAGTAATACTAAAATTTTTTCCTCTATGGTGACAAATTTTCCACGAACAGCGTTCCCTTGTTTGTGTGTATTATAACTATTATTGAAGGTAGCATTGTTTAGTTAATTGTAGTAATGGGAACTACTTGTATTAGGTGCTGTAGAAATATGTCTTTATGATCCCCTTTGAAGAATAATTGACAACTTTTATTTTCCTTTAGGCAGACGATGAACATTACATTCCGAGAGCAGTGCTCCTGGATTTGGAACCTCGAGTGATACACACAATAATGAATTCACCTTATGCTAAGCTGTATAATCCTGAAAATATTTATTTATCAGAAGCTGGAGGAGGAGCTGGAAACAATTGGGCTGTTGGATACACCCAAGTATGACAAATTTGGTATTCATTTATTTTATTTGGAAATTAATTAGTATAACAGGTAGTTGAGTTTAATTGGATACTTGCAATTCAAGAAACAGAAGATCACGACACCCACACATGTGACCGATGACGTCAGCTCCAGCTGATCGTTTATAAACAAAATGTCGTGTCTCCACATAAGTTAGAATGTTAATTATCGTGAAGTTAATGAAATACAGTGGCTTATCGCACATCGAATTTAAAATATAATTCTTTTTTGTCTTCTTCTTTTAACTTAGATGATTTATTATTTGCTTACGTATTTTATTGTAACTGTGATATATTTTTGTTTTGAGTACCTGGCAATTTCGATACTTGATTAGTTTATGTTCTACATGGCTTTATGCCTCTCATTGTGTTAAGTAAAAAATATATAATGAAGGAACTGAAATCTTTGTATAGAATGTGTCATTAAAGAGAATTGATACTCTTGACTCAATTGAAGTAGAATGGAAAGAACTGTTACAAACCTAAACAAATGCCACATTTTATCAGAATCGATATACCCCTACTATATCACTTGCAGGTATCCCATTAGGGTCATTCAAATCAGGGGTGGCAAAAAACTGTCGTAAGAAATAGGTTTCTTCTAACCCCAGTACAAGAAATCACAGTTGTCAACTCTACTGGATTTTGCCAGTTTCTCCTGGTCTACTCGTTTAATAAAAATTCTTCTGGAAAATCATTTAGAAAATTTTAGTACTTAGTTAATTAATTTAGTTAATTTATTTTAGAAAATTCCCTAAAATTGAGTAAGTTTCCTTAAAAAAATTTCCTGTTAAAATAGAATTTGTTGCACAGATTATTGCTTGCTTGAATATTTAAATAAATATCCATAATATATAATGAAGCAAGCGTCATTTGTTGAAATCAGTTTAAAACTCTTTGTTCTGAAATGTTCGGTTAATTTTTATTCAAAGTTCCCTTTTGAACTTAATTTTAAAAAAATCTTTAAGTAATGATGTGTTAAATATCTATTAATTATGAGTAAACATAATACGTAACATTTCGAGCTTATTAAATAGCAATCATAGCTGGAAAATATTAGTTTTTCTATTTTGATGGCTATAAAAATCCCTAAAATCCTTATGTGTAAAATATTTAGTACATGCAACAATTATGAAATTTATCTTTTGTATAATCTACTAGATTTTTTCCTATCCATGTTAGCAGCTGTGAAGAAATAGAAGAAACTTTGTTTTAATTAAAAAATATCAAATATTTAACCAATAGTTTATAAATGCAATCTAGTTAAAATAATAGTATCATTATACTTGCTATTTGACACATCATTTAAAATTAAGAGAAAATTAAAAAATAACTTGGAAAGAAAAAAATACATTTAATAAATTTCTTAAGAAATCACTGCATTTGTTTATTTGTTTCAATGTTTTACATAATGAAATGTAGTAGAATTTAATTTTATAATTATATGAAGAACTGTTAAAGTACCATAACCAAATTTTATAAATTAAATTGACAAATCGCAAAAACAAATAACATAGCATATTGATTTTAAAATCAAAAACTGTTATGTATTGGATTATGCTAAAGGTATTAATAAATGATTTTTTAACTTATTTTATTTTTGCATAATCAATTTTAATGTTATTTTTTCTCAAATCAATGAATTTTCATTTATAAAATAATGAGAAAGCAAATAAAATTGAAAAAATTTGATAAAATTTAAAACTTTTTTAATATTCTGAACTGAAAATTATGAAAAACCAATAATTTTACTGTGCATTTCTTAATGTCGAATATTTATTTATAATATGATGACAATATATTTCTTTATAGCATAGTAGTTTTTTTTCTTCTCTTTCATATTTAATAGCTTTAAAGTGTCCTGGTTTGGATTTACAAATATAACCTCACAATAAAAATATGTACTTGTTTTTTACTGTTAAATAATATCTATTTTTTTTTAGAAAAATTATTTCACCATCCCATTAAATTGTAAACAAAGTTAGTATCTAAAATAGCTATGAAATACATATATAGACTAAACAAGTAATATAAAATGAAAATCAAGCCACATTTTTTAAAAGTATTTATGTAATTTTATCTTAAAACAGGATGTTCAGAAAGCTAAAAAATGATATAAATTTACATAATTTAGATATAAATCTACTTTAAGTAAATAAGAATAACTTGAATCTAAATTAAAAATAATTTATTTTAATTATTTTTTTATTTTTACCACATATTAGTTTATTTAAGAATTAAGTAAAATGAAATGCATTTTTTTGTTTAAAAAAAATTATCAAAACTTTTTTATCTTTATTCAAATTTTATTTTCTAAAGATATTTATTAAAAGTTATTGTAACTTGAAATGAAAAGCACTATAATTCTGGAGAAAATTTCAAACTAAAAATACTGTGTTCTGGGGAAATATAAAGCTCAGAATTTTCTGCATCCCAGCTTTAAAAGTAATTTGATAAAGTATTCAACCCATAGTCTTTTCAAAACCTAAAAAATGCATCTTTCTTGCAGTAAGTTGTATAAGCATTTACTTGGACTCATGGATTATGAGGAATTAAAAGTTCATTTTGTAATTGCTATTTTTGTAATTGTAATTGCTATACTTATGATTATGTAAATTAGATACAACTGTTCTCGTTTTTAAGAATATAAAGTATAAATACAATTCACCTATTCATAGTATTTTTTATTTGAATTAACTAATTATAAAAAAATGTACCATATTGTTAAATGAAAAATTATCCACTGGATTTAAATTTATAATAAGGTTCTGATTGAGAAAGGATATAATTCTTTAAATTTAAAATTTATTTAAAGATTATCACTCAATTACTAGTTTAAGTTTCTTTTTCCATGCATTTTGGGAAATGATTCTTATCTTACAAAAGAAGAAAACTGTCTATTTCTTTCTGATGAAGTTTTAATGTTTTATTTTATTGATAAATAATTATTTCTTCTCTGATATTAATTTGTAGGTTCTCCTTTTGAGTTGTAGTTATAATTCATTTTAATATCTTATTTTAAAATTTAGGGTGAAAAACTATACGAGGAGATTTTTGATATAATTGATCGTGAGGCAGATGGGAGCGATAGTTTGGAGGGATTCATTTTATGCCATTCAATAGCTGGTGGAACTGGATCTGGAATGGGCTCCTACATGTTAGAAAGAATAAATGACAGGTGTTGTAAAAATTTATGTGGTTTTCTAAACATATATGTAAAATTCAGCACTTATTATTAAATTATAAGTCTGTATGTTTTAATTAAAAACATATATTTTTTTTCTCATTTATTTTTGTAAAATGAGGTTAATTAAATTAATATATGCCTGTTTTATTTTTTAAATATATTTATAAGCTGAGCAAAAAATAAATTCTTTCATAAAATTAGGTAGTTTATTTTTTAAAAATTATGATACTACTATGTTAATTTTCTATTATTAGTTGTAAGTTGTAAGCGCGGTAGCTATGTGGAAGAACATGTGCGCTTGAAAGATAGTAAATTTTTTTGAACCGTGTTATGGTACTTATCGGTTAAAGGGATCCTCAAGTGAAGATGGTCAACTCGTAAGAACAACAACAGATTCTGTCTTGCATAGGTCATACGCATAAGTGTATGAAATTAATCGTTAACAATAATGCATGTTGAATATGAAAATATGACTTTTATTAATAATTGTACTATTGATACTATAAAATATCACGGATATTATATATAAATATAATAGTTGGATGTGTCTAAAAAAGCAATTGCTAAAAGATATTGCTTTTTAGACCCATTGGAACAAGAAAGTGGGGAAAGCCGCAGTTGAGATGGGCTGTCTCGGTGGAGTCTGATTTATTTGCTATTAATGAAAAGAATTGGAGATCAAAGATATAAATCGGAAGTCGTTATGGTGAAATCTTCAGAGGAAGGTATTGTTGTGGGTGTTGATAAATTTTATTGAGATAACAAAAATATTCATCAATATAAAAATAATTAAAATTAGAAAAATGTTTTAAACATCAAAATATATTTTTTACAGTAACTCATGATATTGAAATTTGTACCTTATCAGTTATAGGGACCAATGTTCATGTTGTTGGCAACAATTTGGAAAGGCAATTGCCAACACATAATCTCTATTACCGATAAGTACCCATCTAATATACCATATATTCCGGCGCATAACGCTCACCCGTAATTTCTAAAAACTTTTTTTAATACACTCTTCGTATAACGCGCACGAAAATTTGGATTGTACATGTGCAATATCTGGTCTAGTATCAATAGAAAACCAGAAAGCCTTTTAGTGTGGGACATGTTTTCGTCCCACCTTACAGATAATACAAAAAAATTGTTGAAAGAATGTAACACCGATATGGCAGTTATTCCGGGCAGATTAACACCATTTCTTCAGCCATTGGACGTCTGCTTAAACAAACCATTTAAAGCCAATTTAAAAAAACAGTGGAACACTTGGATGTTGGAGGGCGAGAAAATCTTTACGAAAGGAGGATATATGTGCCATGCGAGTTTGGAAACAGTGTGCAAATGGATATTAAAGGCATGGGATGAAATTAAGCCTGAGATGGTTAGAAAATCATTAAAAAAATGCAGCATTTCAAATAATCTGGACTGATCAGAAGATGACTGTTTATTTATGGATGAGGATAACACAGATGATGAAGGCGAAACAGATTGTGATGACGTGCCTGAAGAAATAACGGAAGACGAATATAATGAACTATTTATGTAATAACGGAAATCAATAAAGTATATAGGTAAAGGTATGTTATTTCTTTAAAATAAAAGTATTTTTCTGTATTTAAATTTTTTTTAATCTATAATTTTTTATATTCGGCGTATACCGCGCACCCGTACATTCCAATGTTATTTTTTGTATTAAAAGTGCGCATTATACGCCGGAATATACGGTATGGCTTATTTTGCTAAGACTTTAAATGAGGTTTTCATTTTACGAAAATGTTTTGTAAACAACTTCCGTTTATTTCTTATCTAGTTTTACATGTGATTTCTACAAATTTATTAAAATATATTCTTCCAGTTAATACAAATTGTTATTCAATCAGTTAAATAATAATAAGATTTCTGTTTACTTACCTAGTTAAATGATTATTATATCTGTTTTCTTAGATTTCCAAAAAAGTTAATTGAAACTTACTCAGTCTTTCCAAATCAAGATGAAATAAGTGACGTCGTTGTTCAACCTTATAACTCTTTACTGACATTAAAGAGATTGACACAGAATGCAGATTGTGTTGTGGTGTTAGATAATACAGCCTTAAATCGAATTGCTGTGGATAGACTTCATATTACTAATCCAAGTTTCGGTCAGATAAATTCTTTGGTAAGTTTTATTTCTAGTATTTTTATTATTTAATCAGCTTAGTTTTAATATAAAGAGTGAAACTTATTCTGAAGTAGTTGTTTATTTTGGCAAGTTTATGCAAAAAGTATTAATTTATAAATTTTTATTGAAACAGAAAATACATAAAGAATACTAAAAAAAGATTTTCTAAATAAATAAGCTCTCCTTATCCCACATATAAAGAATGCTTATTTTTCCCTACCGAATTTCAATTTTATTTCCTAAAGAAACATTCTTTCTATTGAACTTAACTCAGTGATTTCGCTTGTACATTATATCAAGTCAATTAGACACACAATTCTCTGATGCGAAAAAAATGTACGAGCTGATTTGTACAAGCAAAAGTACAACCAAATTTTAAATATAGGGGGCAGGGTGGACCATATTCCATTATTTTAATGCTATTAGATTTTTTTCAATTTATATGTTTAGTACTACAAATTCTATGAAAGAATCGCAGTTTTAGTTAAAATGGGCCACTTTTATTTCAACAAGTCTTTAAAATTCAACAAGTCTTAACTAAAGTCTTTAAAATTCAAGTTACACAAATTTCATACAAAATTAAAAGCTTACAAATACATCACACAAAAATTATTTTAAACTCATCTTTGCTACAAGTGTGCATTTTTTAATTTTATTCACAAAGGTTATATTTAACTAGTTATGTGCAGATTAAATAACCAAAATTTGTCAGAATTTTTTATTTTTTTTATCTTGTATTAAACTGGAACAAAATTTTTTGAATTTAGATCTGAACAAAAAAACCATTGCAAATGGAATATTTTATACCTATATTCACAACAATTATGCAAGAAATTTGCCGTGCAATTTAATTAAAAAAAAAATTCTATCAAACATTGCATTTTTTAAAAATGAATTGTGATTTAGAATAAATTCTTTACACGAATACGACATTTTGATTGTGTCTATGTTTCTTAATGTAAATTAAATTTTTGTATAATGGCAATAAAAATATTTTATATTCAACAAATGTCTATAAATAATAATTCATAAAAATGATATAATTCTTATTATTCATGAATCTCATACAGGAAATATCAATTTTACATTTCACAGCTAATATTTTATGTGTTTTTTTCCTAATTTTAATTTGCTATGAATCATTTTAAACAATTATGTCATTTGCCATTACTCAAAATCAATTAGTATACCAAAAATTTTTTATTAATGAAATTAAACAAATAATTATGTGCTGTAAAAATAATCTTTTTTTTTTATATTTAAATAAATATATTTTGTTTACTTTCTACTCTTTAAAAATAGATTTTAGAGGCTGAAAATTATAATGGAATTACTTCATTGGATAACATTTATCTTTCGATATTGTTTTTGAATACATTTTTGTTACCTGGTCCATGATCCAGGTGTTTCATTAGTCCTAAATAAAAGCTTTGATATCACAAATAGATCTATTTTTCTTGTTTGGAAATGCCTTGTTTTGTGTATAATTAGAAATAATAATTGTGAATGTAAATATTGATAGATGGATAAAGAGGCAGAGAATTCATATTTTTAATAGAGACCAACTTTAAGTAAAAAGAAAACCAAAAATTTGGAAGTTCTCAAGTTCCGTAGTTTCCAAAGCCTAGCGGAATCAATGGCAACTAAATCATGTATAGTCTTTTGCAGATAGCTTCATTCATATGAAAATTATTAGATAACCATGAACTTGTGCAATCTTCGGGAGAACTCTCGTATGGTGATGAGTACTATGATTATGAGCATGAGTATAGTTTGTCTAAAGTAAGAACTCCCCATGCCATTCACCTGGACCTGTGGCAGTGACTATGGTATAACTATTTCAAGTAGGGGTGTGGGGTCACTGTTTAGGAGCAGGTTTTGGCTCTGTTCGGCGAGAAAAGGGGAATCTTTTTCTTCAGTCTATTGTGTTAGCCCTAGAGTGAAGAAAAGCTACCCTCCCTGAAATGTGCTATTCTTGTTTCTATAGCAACATATAGTCCCAGACTTTGTGGCGAGGGGAGTTTTTGACATAGACAAACTATAACTTAGGATATGGGTGTAGAATGAATAGTTTCGTTTTTATCTTGGAACATGTTGGCATAAAAATTTTTGCTTTGCAGCTAATCGAATCCTTCATTCCTCCAGTTAGACTCAAAAGTTGTCCATAATTTTCTTTAAAAACAGAAAGTGTCCTTAAATATATTTTAGTTATTTAACATTTCAATAAATGTCCTGAAATTAAGTTAACAGGAAGAATAAATACTATTTATCTAAAAAGGAATTAAGGAAATTTCCAATTCAGAAATTATGTTATATGCCATGAAACAAAGTAAATAGCAAAATAAACAACCAAGTCTTTATAGCGTGTCAAGTACGATATTCATCTGCTTCCAGTGTTGATACAATTACCATTGATTTGATGGCATGAAAGTACTTGATGTGGGAGAAATATATGAAAAACTCCTACCTCTCTACTTCCCCCCTCTCACCCCCTATCATACTGTATTGTTTTTCACAAGAGAATCCTTGTATTTTGCTACTACAGTAGAGAACCAATTATCCGGGATGCTCGGGACCATCGCTATCCCGGATATCTGAATTTCCCGGTTTTCTGGATCGACCAAAAAGTGTCGTTAATCGATGTTTTATCGAACCCGAAGTACAAGGAAAAAGTGTACTGCATAAAGTAAGAGAAAAAAGAAAGGTACTCCTAACTTTAAAAAGAAAAAAAAAATGGTAGAAATATAACATTTAAAAGAACAAAAAAATTCGCAAGTTTTGACAAGAAAATCAAGTTTAAAAAATACAAAATTCTCATATTTATTTTTTAAAAATAATTACAATTCCTAAATTAAATAATATAAACAAAACCAATGATTAAATTACGCAATATATTTCATACCTAATTACAGTCAATTCGCTATAACTCGAAGTACGATAACTCGAATATTACTATAACTCGATTTTTTTATGAGGTCCCGACCCTTTTATCTTCAATTTCATGTTAATTATTCTCGATTACTCGAATTTTACTCCCTTTAACTCGATTTTTTTTG